TATACATCATACTTGTGGTAAACGGTGTGGATGTCACAATTAGCAACGATGTATAGCTTAAAAGTCTATTGTAACCATCTATTATTGTGATATTGTTTGTTTACCCAATAAACTCAAAAAAAAAAGACTCCCCGAGTGTCATAGGTGGTGTCATAGTGTTCGTGGGTCACTGCTGTTGATCCTGATGTACAAGAGTAACAGTGAGAGGAGTAAGATCCAATTTAAGAAAAGCCCCCTACGAGGGCTCTCTCCTCTATGACCAAGTGTAGTATTTTGAAGACCGATTGCCCCCCGAACGGGTCAAGTAGCGGGTACGTATCCAGTCCGGTAAAAAGAAATAATAACTGGATTAAATGAGTACTCTCAATTACAGCCATTAATAAATATAATTAAAAAATCTTAAATATATACAATTATAAAGACGGAACTAAATGATCTAGTATACAACACTGTTCACACTATATACACACAGACACATTATCATTCTTATAATTGTAGTACAGGCTAATCTCTAAATGCCGTTAGCGAATCTTGAAAATGCGTCTGAACAGAGAATTGCCAGCAAAACGGTCGTTTCTAGCGTTTTATATTATCTAGAGATTAACATATCAAAATGTAAGCAGAACTTTATAACTTTACTGGATTTTGCCCGCGGCTCGACGTTCGTGATAATGTAGTTTTCTATTTATGAAAGAATTATAAATAGAATCGGTTTAGAGGTTTAGGCTTGAAAGCCGTAAAGTTAGTTTAGTCTAAGTTTAGGCGTAACAAACAAATTCACTTTTAAATTTGTAATATAAATAGGGATATCGAAAGTGGTCCGCGTGATCACGGATTAAGAATCATCATAACCCCTATTCATCCCGTGGGTGTCGTAAGAGCCGACTAAGGGATCAAACTACGTAGGGCAACAGCACTACAGAGAGAAGGAAAACTTGAAACAAACCCTATACCAACCTGTCTGGCCAGCGTGGCATAGTAGGCCAATACCTCCTTTCTAAGGACAGGCCTATGTCCAGCAGTGGACTATTAAAGGCTGTTGATGATGATGATAAAGTATTTTAAATATTAAATGCTGTTTTATTTAAAAATGAGTATTAAGAGTTTTCTTTACGTATATTTGAATATGTGTAGAAACTTTGTGTTTAAATACGACCTTTGTTCGCCCACTACTGATTATAAAGGGCATCTAGCCCAAAAAAAACCCACGCAACATGAATATAAACCACCAAATAACATGAAATGACGAATCAATATTTGTTTCGTCTCACAAATAATATGGTGATTTTCAATTTTGGCTTTGAGAAAGCTTAATTAAACGAGAAAGTAAATGAAATGAAAGTGTAAGATACCAGGCGAACAGAAAAAGCAAAGAACTATGTCAGGATCAAGGTTTTAATATTTTTCTTTAATAATTGCCACTGCCACTGCACGCATTGCGTAGTGGTTTAAGCGGTCGCCACACCGCTTCCTACTACGACGAGTGTTGTGAGTTCGATCTTCACATGGGACAACACTTTGTGTGATCCACAAATTGTTATTCTGAGTCCGGATGGTTTTTCTGTTCATTTCATGTATGTTTGTAAAGTCTCCCCGCGACACAGGATGTATTCCTAGTGCGGTAGTTTACTAGCTTTTTTCCCGTGACTCCGGTCGCGTGTATGTCAAATCAAAAGTGTAATCAAAAGTAAATTAAAAGAGTTGGAAATATAATAAATACATTTCCCTTCTTAGCTAACTGCGAGGCAAAAATAAACTACAAAACTTGTTCATCACATCACATCACATCAACAGCCTTTAATAGTCCACTGCTGGACATAGATCTCTCCTTAGAAAGAAGTTTTTGGTCTACTATACCACGCTGGCCAGGCGGGTTGGTGTAGGGTTTGTGTCAAGTTTTCCGTCTTTTTGCAGTGCTGGTGTCCTGCGTTGTTTTGCGCCCTTAGTCGGTTCTTACGACACCCACGGGATGAATTGGGGTAGTGACATTCCGTATTCTTAATCCGTCACTACACGGACAAACCTTGTTACCTACCCGTATTACAAGATAAATCTCCTTGTACTGTCTTCACAGACTTGGGAAAATATTTTGATTAAGCACAGACGGAGAAATATTTATCGAAAGTGCTATTGTTTCCATGGGAATGGCTTCTGCAATGTTTTGTAAACATTTTTACTTTCACTAAGTATTAAAACGTGCGAAATTTTATGGCGTACCTACCAGCTATTCCCCGCAACTTTATTACAACCGTTCAACGCTTATTTTACCCCTTAGGGGTCCAAAAATCTTTTGTTAGTGGGTGTTTACAACATAAAAATCATCAGCTGCCAAAATTTTAATTTTGTAGACCCAAGTAGTTTAGGCTCTGCGTTGATGTCCCCGCCAGCAATCATTGCTGCCATGCTGGCGGGTGAGGAGGGCTGGGGCGCAGTGGTCTCTTTCTGTGAAGCTGTAATGCTCCAGAAAGAGACCGCTGAACGGGATCGGGAGAGGGCCGATCCCGAACGTAGAAGACGTCGGTGGCGATATCAGCCGTCGACGGGGCCGCTGGCCGCCAGAGAGTGGGGACCTCTGGTGGCAGATTGATTGCTGCGGTAGGGAATGGAATGGCCGGCCTGATTGCATTAAGATGCGATCGGGCCGCCATGCCGCGATTGAAGGGGGAAGTGTTCTCCCCTGGGATAGAGCCTGATTAGGCATGGTGTCAATTCGGGGAGGACCTGAAATAACATGGTCCGGGTCCTCCCCAGAGTAGGACACCTAAGGCCGGCCGTCGGGGTGGTTAGGCTCTGCGCTGATGAATTAGTCAGTCCGGACAAATAATATTGTTTGTATAGACAAACCTGTCCTAAGTTAGACTAGACTTTACCACAGTTGTACCACTAAGGAAGTAAAAAAGGATGTCTTCTTTAATGGTAAAAGGTTTACCTACACTCATTTATGAACACGAATTTTAACAAATTTACTCATTAACCAAGTTTACTCAAAAGAATCGAGGTTTTTCTTTTAAAACAACTTTTTGTTGTAAAAGAAAAACCTCGATTCTTTAAAAATATGTGCGTATGACTAAGGTAGCAAACTATCATATACTTCGATGAGAAGCAATAATTAGCCCTGACATAGGCACCCAACACGGTCTTGCGGCCTTGTAACAACCGTCTTGAGATTAAAGATCACATATACACAAATATTTGTATATCTCTTCATGTATTATATATTAGACTAGCATACGTTGTTTTGCCATATATATTATTTCTAGGAAATATTTAAAAAAAAAATTGGGATAAGTCTTACGCAAGACGCTCATACCTACGCAATATGCACACAAAATTGCATAAAAATCGGTAGAGCCGTTTCGGAGGAATTTGGTAACAAACACCGCGACACGAGAATTTTATATATATTAAACTAGGTATTTCTATGTATAATAATATTTGCACATATTTACAATGTTGTTACTAATAATAATAATATTTTCACACATCTCACACACCGCCGTCTAATCCCAAAATAAGCAGAGCCTGTACTATGGTAACCAGACTGCTGATAAACATACTTATATATTTTTAAATACATACACATTATAGATAAAGTACACCCAGACACACAACAAATGACCGTGCTCATCAACATCATCATCATCATCATCAACAGCCTTTAATAGTCCACTGCTGGACATAAGCCTCTCCTTAGAAAGGAAGTTTTTGGCCTACTACCACGCTGGCCAGACGGGTCGGCATAGGGTTTGTTTCAAGTATTCCTTCTCTCTGCAGTGCTGTTGACCTGCGTAGGTTGCTCTCTTAGTCGCCTCTCACGACACCCACGGGATGAATAGGGGTAACACACTGTATTTTTTATCCGTCACCACACAATTATATATCCTGGGTGGCAATCGAACCAACGACCTCTGGCGTAGCAGGGTCACTAACCACTATACCAACAGTCCAATCGAACTGAGTATATTTATTTGGATTCTAGCAGCTGCTTAATGAAAATAAAGTGTAAAATGAATAGGACCTAGAATATATGGATCTATAAACTATGACACCAGCTTACTACCTGGGGGGGGGAGAGGCAAACATGAAATGGAGGTGACATAACATTACTTGTATATACATATAGGTTGGACTGTCCTCCGTGTGATGACACTTCCGTGTGGTGACGGATTAAGAATACGTCAGGAGTGTCACCTTATTCATCCCGTGGGTGTTGTAAGACCGACTAAGGGAGTAAAATACATAGAATATATATAGCCTTTGTCGATAAATGGGGTATCTAACACTTATTTTTTTTCTTTGCGAAACTCCCCTCGAATACCATCCACCAGTGAAGTGGTTATGTCGGACTGGAACCGAGTAAAAAAAACTGCACGCCGTCTCCAGGTGCCAGTAGCCGGGGAACCAGGTGTACACTGGAAATTAAAGACCTGGTACTCCAAGGTACCTTGGGCCATCTGCGGCTTAAAGATGACCCCCTCCTATGTGGGAAACACGATGTTCCTTTCCTGCACCCGAAGGACAAGGACTATTCTTCTTCTTCTCCACGTCTCCACCGGCGTCCACGCCGGCGTCAGAGGCGGACACAGCCCTTCGTACAATCGCCCGCCATCTCTCCCTATTGGCAGACTGTCGGATACAGTCAGACACGCGGCCTCCCACTGCGGATCTCACCTGGTCGGTCCAGCGGAAGGTCCAGAGGGAACCAACACAAATTTTTTTTTTAATTTGAACCAGCAGTTGAACCAAACAAACAAATTCTTCAGCTTTCAAATATTAGTTTAATATAATAATTATACTTTTTTAACATTAATAATCCTACCGCTTCTGTTCATTTCTTTAAAAAATTTAAGGTCGGTTTTTTGACGTATCACATCTGGGTTTGCTCCACTCTCTCTACCCTAGGTTTGTGGTACCCTAGCACTAAATCTGCTGAATAAATAAAACCTGAGGTCCATTCCAAATAACTCTGACTGTAATACTCCTATATCTTTTGTCCACAGAGGAAGCAGATGCTGAGATTACCACTTCTGGGAGGTCATTGGATGAGATGCCTTCGAAAGTCGGCAGAGAGATCACAGAGTCGCTGAATTCCTTGACCAGAACTCTTGGACGCGGTTTTGCCAGGTAATTCGTTTTATTTTTACAATAATGCAGCTCTGGTGTTAAACATAATTTTAATTTTATAGTTTTTTTAGTTCTGCTTTTCTTTCTAATTGGTTATTAATGGTTTTATACATTTCTAAATGTCAATTCCAACTTACCTTATAACAGAAATAACCGAAATACAATGTAACTTAATTAAAATGTAATAAAGAGAAAAATAATGATATATCTTTCACTCTGCGTTCCACACGGCAAAATGTTCATCCTCATTCTTCTTCATCATTCTCGTTCATCTGGACAAAACTTTTAACGGGTTTCCGGACCGATACGACCTTCAAATCTTCAAGAAAAGAGCGCACTCCTTCCTAAATGGCCGGCAACGCGTTTGTGACTCCTGAGTTGCATACGTTCATTGGCGGCGATGGTCACTTTCCATCAGGTGACCCGTCTGCTCGTCTGCCCCCTTTAACATAAAAAAACACAAATTACACAAGTCCTAATATGTAAGTTGACAAATGTTTAGTAATTTATGGGAAATATGGAGTCTAAACTAAGACTTACTTGTATTTTAGAGCTCCAAACCAATATTGAAGTTACAGTAATGTGGTCAACGCTGTGATTAAGCGTGGTTATTTATGTATGTATGCGTGTGTATGTGTGTATGTTTTTTTTTATGGTATAAGGAGGCAAAAGAGCAGACGGGTCATCTGATGGTAAGCAACTACCGCCGCCCATGGACACCTGCAACTCAAAAGTCACAAGTGCGTTGCCGCCCTTGGAGTCCCTCCCGCTTGAGTCAGCGGGCTCGGGTAACCTCACTCACTCAGTGAAAGGCAACGAAAGAATTGCTTAACACCGGTTTTCTATGAGGCCGTGGTATCACTCCGGTCGAGCTGGCCTATTCGTGCCGAAGCATGGGTGTCCCACGGTAGCCATAGCCCCGGTTACTAGAGGAATTGTAACAAGCTATGCAGAATGGTTAATAATTAGAAAATGTTTGAGTGAAGAAACAAGTTATTTATAAATTACACACATGTAAACGTATAATAATACCAGCTGACACTCGCAATGTGTGCACTTGTGTGTGTGATATATATACGTATATATATATATATATATATATATATATATATGTCTTTATTATCACAGATTACGCGACTACCTCTAAAAACTTTTTCTGTTTCTAAATACTTTGTTAATGAGAACGTATAAATTCTTACAGCGGCTTTTTCACATGATCTTGTTAGCTTCACTTATAACTGTTAAAATAATCATAAAATTCAATATTAGCATTTATTTAATTATTAAAAAGAGACAAAATAACTTTTATATTTGTCTATAAAATAAAGAAAGTCAAGTAACACCTAGAGTATGATCTTAAGATTGCTTTTAATTTGCTCAATGTTGCTTTCTCTTTGAAACAAACATTTAATTATAAATTATTTTACAGATATATGTATTTTTAACCAAACTACACTTAGTAAAAGTTATGATAAATAATGAACTATAATTATAGCTTTTTTCTTATTGGCAATAAAATAATATAACCTCTGCGCATGTCTTGTGCCCGCGGCCATTTTGAATTTTTACATTAAATTTTTGAACCGATAGTAGTCTTTGGCAATCGAGAATTTAAATAATAATAAATATATGCTGCTAGTAGTCTCAATGTGAGGGGTAATCACAGTGTGAGGGGGGTGTGAGGGGCGAACCACCATCTTTCGCCCCAAGCCAACCTCACCTGCCCGCGGTGCATCCTGCTGAACGACGAACGAGGCTCTGGCGACCGACCGATGGCGGTATATCCATCCCAATAGGCGTAGCTAAATACAACAGGCCGGTGACGGGCAGCAGCGTTACCGGTGCGACAAGCTACGCCCTGCGATCGCCAACCCGCCTGCCCAGCGTGGCGATTATGGGCAAACCCCTCCCATGCAGACGCAACAAAGGCCACGGCCCCCAGTTCCCGGCGGCCCCGCTATTCCTGGTCATGGTGGCGACCTCGGTAAAGGCGGGGCAGGGGGTGCGAAGAATCTCCGGGCTACGGGAGGCCACCACAACCGACTGACCCTGGCTACGTACAACGGACGCACGCTACGGCTAGACTCGCATCTGGCGCAACTTGAGGTGGAACTTGGGAAGATTAGGTGGCATATCCTAGGGCTATGTGAAGTCCGAAGAGAGGGGGAGGACACCATAACCCTCGAGTCAGGCCACCTAATGTACTTCCGCGAGGGAGACCAACAATCCCAAGGTGGGGTTGGGTTTCTGGTAAATAAGTCCCTATCTGACAACGTTGTGGAAATTTCCAGTGTGTCGAACAGGGTAGCGTACCTCATTATCAAGCTCACCGAGAGGTATAGCCTCAAGGTTGTGCAAGTATACGCACCGACCTCGGCACATTCGGACGACGAGGTGGAGGATATGTACGATGACATATCGAGGGCCCTCCACTTCACAACTAAGACCCACTACAACGTTGTTATGGGTGACTTCAACGCTAAAGTGGGAGTACAGAATTGCGGCGAATCGGTAGTAGGATCCCATGGATTTGGAAGCAGGAATCATAGGGGGCAAATGCTGGTCAACTTCCTCGAACGGGAGGGGCTGTTTTTGATGAATTCTTTCTTCAAGAAACAGCCCGAAAGGAAGTGGACGTGGCAAAGCCCCGACGCTATGACCAGAAATGAGATCGATTTCATCATGACGGATAGAAAGCACATATTCAGAGACGTCTCAGTGATCAATAGGTTTAATACCGGTAGTGATCACCGACTTGTCCGGGGCTCTCTGAATATCAACTTTAAGGCGGAACGTGTCTGTTTGATGAAATCCAGGCTCCGACCAACTCGGCTCCAAGCCATGACAGGATCTGAAACGTTCCAGTCAAAACTGGAAAACCGATTCGCTGCCGTGGAAACCACAATCGACGTAAACCAGAACCTCAAAAATGTGGTTCAGATCCTCAGGGAAGAAGGTATGAGATTTTGTGAAATGCAGCGTAAGGGCAGGAAGTCGAAGCTTTCAGAAAGGACCCTAGGGCTGATGAAGAAACGACGTGAAAACCCACCTGTCACTTTGTCGGCAAAGCGGACTCTAAACCGAGAGATCAGTAAACTCGTACGACACGACCTCCGGTGCTCCAATACTCTTTCAATTGAAAGAGCGATCGAGCAAAATCGGGGGTCAAAAGTGTTCGTACAATCTCTTGGACGAAGCCACCTGACAAAGTTGACTACAGAAAGTGGAGAAGTCGTTGCTTCGAAGCCGGCAGTCCTTTTGGAAGTGGAAAGCTTCTATGGCCGGTTATACGCTTCGCATGCATCTCGACCTGATCCCGAAAATGAGGACTCTAGAGCCACATTAACACGTCACTACACCGAAGACCTGCCAGAAGTTAGCATTGACGAAATCGAGATGGCTCTTGGACAGCTGAAAAATGGAAAAGCCCCTGGAGAGGATGGCGTTACAACAGAGCTGCTGAAGGCCGGGGGTAAACCCGTACTAAGGGAGCTCCAAAAGCTCTTCAACGCTGTCCTGTTTGAAGGGAGAACTCCAGAAGCGTGGAGTAGGAGTGTGGTCGTCTTGTTCTTCAAAAAGGGTGACAAGACCAGGTTGAAGAACTATCGACCCATATCCCTTCTAAGCCACGTCTACAAGCTGTTTTCGAGAGTCATCACGAACCGTCTTGCGCGAAGACTCGACGAATTCCAACCACCGGAGCAAGCTGGGTTTCGGAGCGGATATGGCACCATAGACCACATCCACACAGTGCGGCAGATTATACAGAAGACCGAAGAATATAATCAGCCCCTGTGTCTAGCATTCGTGGACTATGAGAAAGCCTTTGACTCGATCGAGATCTGGTCTGTTCTGGAGTCCCTGCAGCGTTGCCAAGTAGATTGGCGATACATCAAAGTGATGAGATGTCTCTACGAAGCCGCCACCATGTCCGTCCAAGTACAGAATCAGCAAACAAGGCCCGTACCATTGCATCGAGGAGTGAGACAAGGGGACGTTATTTCCCCGAAATTGTTCACAAATGCAATGGAGGACATGTTCAAGACGCTGCACTGGAAAGGGCGTGGCATCAATATCAATGGCGAATACATCTCTCACTTGCGATTTGCAGATGACATCGTCATCATGGCAGAGACGTTGCAGGACCTACAGCAAATGCTGAATGACTTAGCTGACACTTCTGTACGCATCGGCCTACGGATGAACTTGGATAAAACCAAGGTCATGTTCAACGAACATGTACTACCGGAACCGATTGCGGTACACGGTGCCGTTCTCGAAGTTGTTCAAAATTATGTGTACCTCGGGCAGACATTGCAGTTAGGTAGAAACAACTTCGAGGACGAGGTGAACAGAAGAATTCGGTTGGGTTGGGCAGCGTTTGGGAAGCTACGTCGAGTCTTCTCATCGTCGATCCCACAGTGCCTTAAGACGAAAGTCTTTAATGAGTGCGTCCTACCCGTCATGACATACGGAGCTGAAACGTGGACACTTACGGTACGGCTGGTCCACAAGTTCAAAGTCGCTCAACGTGCTATGGAAAGGGCTATGCTCGGCGTTTCTCTAAGGGATCGCATCAGAAATGAGGTGATCCGGCAGAGAACTAAGGTCACCGACATAGCGTACCGGATCAGCAAGTTGAAGTGGCAGTGGGCTGGCCATATTAGCCGCAGAACCGATAACCGTTGGGGAAAACGAGTTCTTGAATGGAGACCGCGTCTCGGCAAACGTAGTGTAGGACGCCCACAGGCCAGGTGGAGTGACGATTTGCGCAAGATGGCTGGCAGGAGCTGGATGCGAGAAGCCCAAAATCGATCTAAGTGGCGTGCAATGGGAGAGGCCTATGTCCAGCAGTGGACTGCGATAGGCTGATGATGATGATGATGATGAGGGGTAATCACAGGAGTATCAGGGATTACCTTCCTAGGGTACACCTGGATCCCCGGCTACTGGTAGCTCACACGGCGTGTGGTTTTTAGTCGGTTAGAGTCCGCCGGTGG